GAGGTGGCAATTTTGGTTTCAAAAGAATGTGATTAGCTCCTAATGACTGCCACCATTCCCTGGTCAATCTACTGTAACTAGCCACTAATGTAAAAATAATGCCCCTGGCTTGCTCACTTTGAAGACGGAGATGAGTCTCCCTTTCATACTCTTACCCCCACAGAATTGTTTCCTTGAAGAGATTATCCCCTATTAGACTGCAGCTCCCTGGAAAAGGGAAATAGATGTGTGATCAAAGCTGCCAATTAGGGGGTCATTACCATCTCCTTCTGTTATCAGGCATTGCTTCCTCTGTGTTTGTCTCCATCCCCACAGCCCCACCCCCACCCCATCCCTTCCTGCTCCTTTCGCCCCATGGTGGGTGGAGGAGGAAGAGGCTTCTGGGGCTGTGTCCTAAGCCTATGTTCACTCCCATTGGGAAGTGTCTTCACTCGTCACCGGCTTTGCATTGGATGAAAGATTGTCCAGGTAGAGCAGCATGTCTGCCTGTGTCCCAAAGGGCATGGGCCTTGTTATTGAGAATCATTTCAGGACTCTGAGAATGGCAGGAGGGACCTTCCTTGCACCTAGCACTGCCATAGGACAAAGGTCCATGCTTATTTTGTGAGCTCCGCCCCACCCCTTGAAGGAGGGCCAAGGTAAAGCAGAAGGGGTAAACTAAAGAGAATCTGCTCAAAAGAGAGACAGGAGGCCACTGCCTGTCTGTGAGAGTCTATCCGTGAGGGCAGACAGTTGCTTGGAAGGCCACGGTGGATAAGAACACAACCAGATGGTTTTCAACGTTTACTAGCACCTCTAAAATTCTAGGAACTTTGCCTTCTGGAGGCACAGAGCCACCAGAGGCTTGAATTCTTTCATTCACTCATTCATACATCCATTTACTCATTCCAGATGGGTCATTCAAGTACAGATGCAGCAGAGGTAGCATTGGTAGGTATATCAGGTGCTAATTTTCTCTGGAGGAACCCATGGCCCACTTGGGAGGTAGTAGTGTAGGTGATTAGATGTACAAATGTGCTTCTCCTAAGAGAACTGACTGAATCTAATTGGGAATGCAATAAGGAAGGGTGAATGAAGGTTTCACCATGGGAGAAAATGCTTGGACTGGGTTTTGAAGGTTCCTTAGAGTTTTCCAGGAAGACTTAGCTGGATGAAAATTTCCAAGTGGAGAAACAGACATCTTGCAGCTAATATGTAGAAATAAGGGCAAGAAGCTTGGCTGGCAAGGCATTTGGGGTGAAGTCATAAAGGCCATGTTATTTACAGGTTTGGGACTTAATCTGAAGAAGAACAAAGGGAGTAACTGGGTCCTGTTCACATTTTAGAAAGATCTCTCTGATTACAGTGGAGGATGGATTGGAGGGACCAAAGCCAAAGCAAGAGAAACGAAAGAGGAGACTCATGGGAAAGTATTAATCCAGGTAAATTCACTACTCGAAAGAGCCCTGGCTGCAAATTAGAATCTCCTGGGGAGTTTAAACACTCCGGGTACCCGTATCCCACCCCTGGTCTGGGGCAAAGCTTTGGCGTTAGGAGTTCTTAAAAATCTCCCGCAAACAATTCTAGCATGCAGTCATAAAGAGACTTCAGCTGTACCCAAACTACAGCACATAACTAATACTCATCACAATTATTTCTGAAGAAATTAGTATGAAAACAATTGGACTCTCCTGTCCAGCCATTGTACAGATGGTTGGGTTTTTGTTGTTGCTGTTGTTGTTTGTTTTTTAATCACAGAGGCTTTCGTCTAGAAAAATCTACCTTGAAAAGATCAAGTCAAGTAGCAAATAATCCGAAGCAGTCAGGCAACAGACTTAGCATCCTGCAGGAGAATGCTCTACCTGCCTGACTGGGTGTGGGGGGGATATGGCTAAGGCTGGAATCTAATAGTTACAAGGGGGAACCAGAACTACTCACAGCCTGGAGAAAGCCTAAGCCAATGGCAAGATGGTTTCAGAGCAGTAGACTCTTGTCACAAAGAACAAGAAAAGAAGGAAGAGAAAGGGCGGGAGAAAAAGGGGAGCTTCAGCCCTACATTGGCAGATTACATTTGTCCTAACTCCCTTTTCATTCCTGGACGTAGGGCAGAGATTGGTGGAGAGTCAACATCTTGTCTTCTCCTTCAGCCACTCCAAACTCTTACCTAAGGGTGTGGAGCACACAAAATTGTGATCCACGGATAACTGGCAAGCCATCTCACTATCCTAGTCCTGGGGAAGGCTAAGTTAGAGAACATGGCTTAGCCGAGGAAGCCCAGACAGAGGGACCTGCCACCCGTGTCCTCCGGAGACTCTGGAACAGCTGGGCAGAATAAAAAAGGGCACATTTCTACCTATCCAAGTACTGCAGCATGGAGCAGAATCATGGCCCACAAGTTATAGACACTAAATAAAGATTTAGTGGAATGCTATTAAACCCATGTCTTCCTTTTTTTTCTGTCTGTGGCTGCTTTTTACTCTGTAGCCCTAGCACTGAGTATGTATATTGGCAACGGATGCTTACAATCTGGCTTGTGATAGGAAATGCTTGCCAACAACCTCGCTTTAGGGGGGAAAAACAATCGAAATGTGAGACTACAAGCAAGACAGGTGACATCATATATGAACTTCATCTACACAAAGGCCCTGAGGTCCACAAAGTATGGCTGCTGAGCTGCTGAACCCTTAGTTGGGAAGGATGCACTGAGGAATGGGCAAAGCCAGGCTGGCTGTGAGGATGGGTGGAGGGCCCTTCCTTGCCCTGTTGACAGCTGTCTAGATGGACACTGTTCCCAGGCCAGCCTCAGAAGAAACACAAGAGCCATAGGCAAAACAGTTCACCTTGTTCCACTGGAGGCAGAGCAGGGACTGTGATTGAAATGTGACCTGACTCTCAAGTTACTGTAGGTTTGCTAAAGCTCTGCCCACCCATCTCAATGTGCATCTTTCCTTTCTATGAAATGACTCAATTCAATACTCCTGCAAACCAACCCAAATAGTTGTTTGCCAGTTTGTCTCTTCTGTGATTTTTGTCTTCTTAAACTGAGTGGTGATTCCTATTACTTCCTTTCTCCTAAGCTCTGGACCTCAATACCCAACTTCTTTCTCAGCTTCTCAGCGTGAACGTCTACCAGACATCTCAAACATGGCTGCCATCATTGTTGTGAATTTGAACATTTAAAAAACAAAAAACAAAAACAACTCATAAGTCTGGCACCAGTGACTCATGCCTATAATCCTAACACCTCAAGAGGCTGAGAGCTGAGGGTCCCAGTTTGAAGCTAGCCTGGGCAGGAAAGTGTGTGAGACTCTTATTTTCAATGAAGCACCAAGATGTTGGAAGTGGAGCTTTGGTTCAAGTGGTAGAGTGCTAGCTAGCCAGCCACGAGTAAGAAAGCTCAGGGACAATGCCTAAGCCCTGAGTTCAAGCCCCAGGACTGGCTCTGCCCTCTCCAAAACATTTTAAAAAGCAACCCCTACAGTTCTCAGAACTGAGCAGTGTTCTACACACTTTAGGTACTTAAAACATAATGTTTAACATGTGCTTTCCCAATCCTGTTTCTCCCCACCCCCAGCCTTCTTTATCTCAATAAGTGACACCTCACTCCAATCAGTTCTTCAAAAGGATAATCTAAGGGTCACCCTCAGTTCTTTTTTCCCACATAGGAGAGATGCGGGTACCCAATATTTATCTACCCTCTATCCACTACTCCTGCAAGCCGTGTCCACTGATGGCTCCCTCTTCTCAGCACCTGTTCATCTGAGGGCTTCCTCCAAACAAAAGAACATGTACACTCTGTCTACAGAGCACGAGCAGAGAGCCAGGCATCCCCCAAGAGGTGTCCTGAGTCAGTGGCAGATGGGAATTGATGGGTACACAGCCATCAATACATACCACCTTCAGCCCCCTCTAGAGGGACAGTTCTGAGGTGTGAACTGTACTCATGGGATAAAACCCCAGTGGTGACATACTCACTGATGGCTCTCTGAGGGGAACCTCAACTGTCTTAGTTCCCCCTTTCTCCTTGGGATTACCTCCCAGATAAACTATGTGTCCTCAGACTCCTACCTCTGAGTCTGCTTCTGAGGCAGCCCTATTCAAAAAGGAAAGGAAAATAAGCTCCTAACGGATCTCCCTGCTTCTTCCCTTGCCTTCCTCTAGAGCCTGTATCCCATGCATGAGCCAGACGGCTCATGAGACAACTTCCCTGCTCACAACCCTCTTGTGGTTTTTCCATGAGGCTGAGAATAATGCTCGCTCTGAGCCAGCGTCTGCAGTGCCGTGTGTGATTGGGAGTCAGTCTCATCCCTCAGGCTTCCATCTCTAGTTCCTTGAGTGACTATGATCTTCTGGTTGCTATCTGACCTTTGCCCCTCTTGTTTCTTCTGCCTGGAAGCACTTTCTGTATTACTTAGTGTGACCACTACTTCACCTCATTAAGAAATGAACATAATGTTACCTGCTTAGAGAGACCTTCCCAGATGGTGGAATCTGAGAGAATTCTGGCTCCTCATCACTAGCTCTTTATCTGGCTTTATTTTCTTTCTAGCACCTTTGATTACATAAAGTTATGTGCTTGCTAGTTGATTGGATGTTCAAAGGAACTTGTCTGTTTCTCCGTATTCATTGTACCTAGTCGAGTGCCCAGGGTGTATTAAGAGATCAGTAAACATCTGTTGAGTATATGAATGAATGGATAAATGAAGGTAGGAATGTTCATTCCTACAAATGAACAAATAGATGTATAAATGAATGGATGGATGAATCAATGAACAAATAACTTCCCTACTGGACAAGATTGTGAGATAATGATACCCAGTACCCAGTATCAATGTTTGAGTCAATAAATCAACAAGTCCATGAAAATGCCAACTCCATTTTCCTCAGAACCTAACCCAGGACAAGTAGCACATTATACTTAGTGTCCCATCAGTGGGCTCTGATTCGCTGTCTTGGTTCATCTACACCTGGGTGAAATCTTCATCTCAGGCTACTCTAATCATTCTGTCCTTGTTTTTCAGGCCTTACCAGAAGGACAGACAGCTTCATGGGACACAGCTAAGGAAGACGAAAACCGCAATAAGAATCGATACGGGAACATCATTTCCTGTAGGTATCGTTCTGGAAGGGCTTAAGTACCAGATTTTGGGAACAAGGGGCAAAAGAAGCTCTCTTTACCTGAAATCGGTTATCAAATAATTCTTGAGGTTTCCATCTTTGGATCAGCAGACTACTGCAGTAGTCCCAGCAAGGAATGGTGAGGAAGTAATCATATTCACGTATTCATGATACCTGGTATTCAGTTCTGGAAGAAGGGAAGAGAGAAGCTGACACAGGCAGATAACATACAGTTTTTATCACTGCCACATATTGGTAGGTAAGCCTTCAAAGCATCATCCACACAGACAGAACAAAGTTGCTTCCGACAAAGTGCTAAGCACTGCTCCAGATGAGAACAAGGGCTCACAGTGCTTTTGTGATCGAGGGGAGCCAATCTGGAACTGTGGACATCTCTCATCAAATGTATGGGGAGCATTGCTGGTCTCAGCTCTCAGAGTAAGCCAATACAGTCAAAGTTTGGGGGTGGGGTAAAGATCTTCAATAACAAATTATTTCTAGCACAGCTCGAATTTTTGTTTTGTTTGGTTTTATCTGTCTAGACATTGCCTGAGTTTAAAAAGAAAAAAGAAAAGGAAAAAAAACTTGGAGGAAAAAAGAATAAGATACGGGCAGATTGTAAAGGAAGAAAGGCAGAAGTTTTGCTTAGCTGTTTCCTGTGCTGATTTAGGAATGGGCTGTGAATGGTGGCACTAATCAGAAAACATTTATAATTTGTCTCTCGGAAGACCGTCATCCAGACAGTGAGATTTCTTGCAAGTGAAATGTCGGAGAGATTCAAAGAGTCAGCAGACATGTATTGAGGCTTAGGATGCACGGGCTTCCTCTGAATGCTTCCTGTGCTGGGCTCTAAGGAGATGCAGTCTTGCTCCCAGACAGGTGGATTCTGGCTCTAACTGGTCCCCATCATCCTCTCCTCTTATGCAATAACTACTATGCCCTCACTATCTGGTTACCTACCCATTCTCCTCATCGGAGCACAAGTGCACATGGTGACCATTATAGGTGGTGTGGCCTTAAGCAATTGCTATAACCCTCAGGCTCCATAAAATAGGATTCACAATGTCTTCCTTTCAGAGATGAGAGAAGGAAAGACTAGTGCTTGCCTCCTTAGAGCCAACGATATCCAGAATGAATGGGCCACGATCCCAGGTCAAAGCCTGAGGGGGTGATATGTAGATCTATGGGAAGTCTCCCAGGACTACCATCATTCATCCTTGTCTAGGCCATCAGCTGCTCTCCCCTAGACCCTGCTCAGCCCACTTCCAGTGAGTCCCCAATTTCTCTCTTATCCTTATCAACAGCCAGCAAGACCTCTTAAGAATCTGACTCAGATTATGTCATTTTCCTACTGAAAACATCTCACATAGTTCTCTTTTTTTATCCCCAGACAGTCATGGGGCTTATCCTGAGCACTGTCGCTTTTTCACTCAAAGCTAGTGGTACTCTACCACTTTTAGCTACAGCTCCACTCTGGTTTTCTGGTGGTTAATTGGAGATAAGAGTCTCACAGCCTTTCCTGCCCAGGCTGGCCTTGAACCACAATCCTCACATCTTAGCCTCCTGAGTAGCTAGGATTACAGGTGTGAGCCACCAGCACCTGGCAAGTTTGTCTCACTTTTAAGTTCTCTTTATTGCAAGGCCTTTTCTGGCTTTCCATATCCTCCTCAGTTAAACCACAGACTATTGCTTAGCCCTTGAACTGTCCACATACTTCCACAACTTAGGGCCTTTGCACATTCCCTCTGAAAATGTTTTCTCTTCCCTTTGTCCTACTAAGAGCTATTTATTCTTCAGCTCTCAGATCAGTCATCAGGTTCACAGGAAGTCCTGACCCTTCAAGTTTGGGCAAGGCCTTATTATTCATTCTTAGAGCACACATATATCTTTAATTGGCCCTTGTCATCATTGTGACTTTTGAGACCCGTTGACAACTATCTGGGGGCAGCCGGAACCTGTCTTCATGGCTTTGCTGCTTGGTGACAAAACAGCCATCTTGCATTTCTGTTTCCCCAAAATTGGCATATGAATGGCTTCCAGCAAATAGGAACTTCATAGGGGGAAGAGAATACAGGGTGTAAAAAATGGGCCTCTCTCACTGCTGGGCTAATGAGAGAGAAAACATTTGGGAGGGCAGAGGGAAGACGGCTACACGAAGCCAGCCCTGGAAATGATGAGTTCCCGGAAGGGAGAGATGAATGGGAGACAGGACACAAGAACAAGAGGATGTTGAAGAAAAAATCACGAGGCAAATTAGAGATCCATCATTGGGTTACCCCACACACCTGGACCTACATCGCCTGCTGCACAGTAGCACCAGCCAACAGGGCTGGGTGATGGGTACGGTGCCCAAGGCACATGATTCCAGCTGGCTGTGCATTCTCAGCTGTGGGCTCTGAATGGAAGGTCCCTGTTTGTGAGCTTCTCCTTAAAGCCTGTGGCTCACACAATTCACAGCTTCACTCTAAGCCTGCCCAAGCACAGAGCTGAAGAATGGACACTGCCAAGAGAAGCCCTTAACAGTTCAAGGCCTCACTGCTCCATGGAAGGGCATCTTCCATTTCTTTTCCCACAGCTCCTCAGAGGGTCTTAGGCCATAGTAGCAATGGGCTGGGAAACACCTTTCTCAGTGGCCTCCTCTTCCCTGATTTACTTCCACCTTCCCTGTGCAGAGTTCTTCTCCCACTCCATGATTAACTCTGGCCATGGAATCCAGAGAGAATCCACGTTCCCTAATAATGCCTCCTCAGTAGGTTCAATTAAGCTTGAATCTCCTTTCTAATCTGAGGGTCAATGCAGCATAGGGAGACTGACCCAGGCTTGCACTCAGTACTAGAAGGAAACAGTGCCAATGTCACCAGAGAATTCAGAAAGCAGCACAAGCTATAAAAGGGAACCAAAGTGGGGAAGTGGATAAAAAGGAAGAAAAATTCCTAGACTCACAATGAGGAAGGTGAAAGAGAAACAGCCCAGAGGACTAGAAAATGTTCCTGCCCTTGTATGTGTTCCTCTCAAAGGCACAGCCTGCTGAGCCTTGATAAATAGAAATATTCTTGGCACAAGAATAAAACTGAGTGTGATTAGCATCTTAAGGAACCCAGAGCACCAAGAGAGGCCATAGTGGAGGACAAAGGCCCAGGCCAGGGACAGCAGAAAAGATTAAAAGGTTTGAAAAGGAGGAAGGGCATTGCCTTCAAGGAAACAGTGAAATAGAAATCTTGGCAAAATAACCTTTTGCTTCCAAGATTGTTGTTCATATTTAGTAATGGAGACAGTGGGATTTGAAGGAAAATAGATGGAAAGGAAGTGAAGGGAAAGGAAGTGAACTAACCAAGGAAGTAAGAACAAAGAGCCTTTTGCTTCCAGGGAGCTCCAAGGCAGAGACTTGTCTGCAAGGGGATACTTAGAGAATACCAAAACATTATCTGTGTGTACCTTCTGGCACTTCCTGGCCTGGCAGGAAGTAGATGGCGCTAGAAGAGGAAGTGGTCTTGGGCTACAAATTTCATAAAGTGGAGCTCCTTTCTGAGATCATTGGGTTCCCAGAAGGATCAAGAGAAATTTTCTAGTCGTGTAATCTGAAGAGAAATAACCAAGAGATGCTTTATGAAAGTGAGATCTAGGAGTAGAGATAAACACTAATGCTGACCAAGAAAGATTCTGATACTGGTGAGAGATCACTAGGACCTTTATGCTGACTAACTCTAATAAATAAAGCTAAAAGGAAGTGTACCTTAACCGGCTCTCCTCTGTCCACCATCTCCTCACCTTGGTTTTCTATTGATTGAGCCAACCAGAAACCAAAGGGCAGAGGAAGCTGTCTGCCCAGGTAATGGTTCTCAAACTTAGATCCTAGCAGGGACAATATCAAGATCACTTGGGAACTTGTTAAAAATGCTACTTGGGCTCTACCCTGGATTTCCTAAGTCAGAAGTTGTGGGGGCAGGGCAGAGTAATGTGTATTTTTGAAAGTCTCACAGGTCAGGCTGATAGATGTTCTAGCTTAAAAGTCTCCAGAAACCAGCCTACTACATGACAGAACGGTGTGAGGAAGGTGGAGTGTAGATCTGTGGGCACACAGGAAATCCTCCAAGCTAGGAAAAGCCACTGGGCTCAGAAGTCTAGTGGACTTATAAACAGTAGAGCCTTTGACTCAAGGTCAGGCAGATCCAAGTTCTAATCTCAGTCTGTCATTTACCTTGTCCATATCTTTGGGCCAAATCTCATCATTTCTCTGACCTTGCATTTTCACCTGTGAGGTGGTCATAGGTCAGATTCCAGCACAAGATACCAAATTAAGTTGACTGAATATGGAAGCTGGTGAGTCAGAGACTTTCAAGTCTAGATGAGAGTCTAGCTTCTTTGAGTTCACAGGCAAAAAAAAAAAAAAAACACAACAGATGGACCAAGGATGGAGAATACCCTACCTGAGATCACATTCTGGCTGCTGAGCCTTCTCTGTCTGCTTGTGGCACTGTCTAGAAGAGTCGTTGATTGAAGTACCCCTCAGTTTCCTCTCCCCTTGAGTAGCATAAACTGGTTGTCCATGTCCTGTGACTCCTCCCACTTCTCAGCAGGATTAAGCCTGAGTTGGCCATAGTGGCTACTGATGGAGATCCATCCTTGTTCATTTCTTCCCTTTCTCCTTCTCATTTCCCAATCTCTCTCTAGTATTTCCTGGTACCTCCTCCCAAATTACTTTCTTTCACCTAATCCTTGTCCTGATGCTGATGAAATCTAAATTTAAAAACAAAAACAGAAAACCCTTTCACTGTTCCTTCAGGAAAGCCCTTCAGTGGGTCATTGCCTGACTGGCATGCTCAGGAATTCAAAGAGGTGCACTGTGGGGACCTCTACACTTCTAGTCTCTCTTGGTGCTTCTACTTTCTAGCCCTTCTCTCCTGAAGCTCCATCCTCCCAGGGTCTCACAGAAGGAGCCTCCAAAATTCAGCCAGCATGGATCCGGCAGGACTAGAAGGTGCATGGAATGA